TTAAAAATAATTTATTATATATATTTTAAAGTAATTAATAAAATAAAAGTGTCCAATACTTTTTTCCACCCCCTGTAAATGAAAAAGCAAAACAGAATAATTATAAAGAGATATAACTATAAATAAATATAATTATAAAGAAATTTGACTATAGTTTGTTTATAATTTCTTATTTTAATTATAAAGTTATATTTATTAATTTATTATTATTTTATTTTAATTGCAAAATCAATATTAAATTAATTTAATAAAATAAATTATTAATAATTTACTTTTATATAAACTATTTATAAAAGTTATAATTATAAAAATCTTTATTAAAAATGATTTTGAAGCTTATTTATAATATAAATATATATTATTTATCTTTAAAATAGTATCAATTTTTTTATTTATAATTTAATATTTATATTATTTCTCTTTTTTAACTTAATATTATATTGTTATAATTAGAAATTTTTATAATTTTTATAATTCAAAATAAACTTTACAAACTTTATAAACTTTACAAACTTTACAAGTTTTATATATATTACTTATTTTATATTTTATAATTATAATATTAATAATAAATATATAATTATTTATAAATATAATATTTATTAATAAAAATATTTAATATAAATAAAGTATAATTAAAGTTTTAAAAAGGATATTAATTAATTAATACAAAATTTAGTTAATTAATAAATTATTAACTTGTTTATTATTAATAAAATTGTATATTAATTAATTATAATAAAAATTATATTATAATATAATTAAATCTCTTTATAATTATTATTCTTAAAAAAGTAAACTTTGATAATTATAGAAATGATATAACTATAGAGAGATTTTTTTATTATATTTAGATATAAATATGAAAGCAAATTAAAGTAATGATTAAGAAGCATAATTATAAATAACTATAAAGATATTTAATTATATTTGTATTATTATATATTATATTAATTTTTAATTATGTTATTAAAAAATAATAATAGTTTATTATTTTAAAATTGTTTTTATATTAAGTAAATAATATAATTTATTAATAATAATAATTTATATAATTAATTAAGATTATAATTTAATAATATTATAATATAAATATTAGTTAAATATATATATTATAAATATATATATATATATTATAGAATTTATCTTATAATAATATATCTTATAAGTTATATATTTATTAGTTATAAAATCAGATAAAATAATAATAATATATATATTTTATATTATATAATTATTATTTTTATTCTAATTTTAATTAAAATTCTAAATATAATTTAATAATTATAGTCAAATTTTTCTATAATTATTATTTATAGAAAAGCAAAATTTGGTAACTTTAAAGAAAATATAACTATAAAATAATTTTTTTACTATATTTATATATAAATAAAAAAACAAAATAAAATGATTATAAAAAAATATAACTATAAATAGATATAATTATAAAAAGATTTGACTATATTGAAAATAGATCTTGATATTAATAATATAATTTAGATATATAACTAAAACTAGTTTAGATTATAGCTATATTTCTTCCAAATAGTTTAAAAATCTATTTTTTAGACTATATAATTAAATTTTATTATTATAATATAATTATAAAATATATAAATTTTATTATTATAATAATAAGAATAAACTTATTTAAAAAACTTTATAATAATAAAAGTTAACTATATTATTATAACAAATTATTTTAAAAAACTAATTAATAACTTATTATTTCAAAGAATAATATTATTAATTTAATTTTTTTAAATTTTATTTTTATAAAATTTCAAAGATATATAATTTTTATTATTAAATATAATTAAATTTCTTTATTTTTTAAATTGTTCTATTATAATAAAAAATACTTATACTAATAATAACTAAAATAAAAATAATTTTTTAAACAATTTATTACATGTAAAAATTTATAAAAACAATTAGTTATAGAATTTTAATTTTTAAAATAAGAAAATTGAAATTATAGATGCAAGCAAAAATATAAAACAAAATATTTTAGCATTCAATTTTGTATATTAGATAATTTAAGAGATAAATATGATTATTATTTAAAAAAATAAAACTAAATAATTATAAAATAATATAATTATAAAAGATATATTTTAATATAATTATTTAATAATTAAGAAAATCAAATTAAATAATTATAAAATAAATAATTATGATTATAAAATAATTTAATTATATGGTAATTTGCAAAAAATTTTTAATGAATATAATAAAATACAAATTTTTCTTTTAATAAAACAATAAAATTGAATATTTTATTAGATTAAATCTAAAAAATCCAGAAAAAATATATATTAAAATATAAATTATAATTTTTATTTTGATATAAAAATAAAAAATATTTATTAATAAAATTAAAAACTTTTATATAAGACGAAAATTTTAATTTTTACTATATTTTGTTAATAAAATTACACATAGAATTTCATAATTTGTTAGTCATTATATATAAAGTTTTTAATTTATTAATTAATATTTTTCTGGATTTTTTAGATTTAATCTGATAAAGTTGTTCTAATTGCAAAGTTATTGTAAATATTTTTTATAATTAATAAAAAATATCATGTTTTTAATTGTAATATAATGATAAAGTTCTAAATAATTTAAGATTTTTTATTATTTACTAGAAAATAATAATAAACAATAAAGATTTAATTAATTTCTTGTTAATAAATCTTTAAGACTTTGCAAGGTTAAAATAAATATCTAAATTATTGTAATATATTATAATTTCATAATAATTATTATTACTATTAAATCAATTCCAATTGTTTAACAAAAGTAATAATACAATAACAAGCAACAATTATAATTACCCAATTTGGCGTTTTCTATTATTAAATAATTATATCCTTTAATCACATTCACCTTCCTTGCAATGTGATTTATTATTAATGTAATGTAATTGAAATCTCAAAATTTTCGGGTTCTTATTGACGTGTAGCACTTACCAAATAGGACAAAAAACCAGCTTAGTTATCACTTTGGTCAGGCTTTATTTTAAATCCAATTTGTTCTTAAAACCGGATTTATTTTATGAAAACCATATATATATATAAAAGGAAAACTTATAATATTAAATCCGCGTTATACAGAGGTGCTACAACCAATCAGTTGTTTGCAATTAGCCCCCTCCCCAGTTTCGGTTTCATTTACAAACGAACTAAAAGAAAAAGAGCGATAGGAATTATTCATCCAATCGTGTGCAAGATATCCGAATTGTGTTCAAAAACGTGTAATTTGATTGATGTTTAATCGAACTCGCTTGTCCAACGAAAAAAACGGAAAACGACACGACAAAGACGACGATGAAGATTGCGCGTTTTAAATAATTTTTTTAGCATGCGGAATGATGGTAATATGCGTTTGTATTACGGCATGAATTTCAAGTGCATTTATCATCGAGGCAAGACATGATGTGTGGGAATAATGATTTATATCTGATAAGAACTCCCCTTTTCCTATATAGCAATACGTTTACCATATTCGATAGAATACGAAAAAGGACTTTTTTTAGGTTTGACGTTTTTAATAATTGTAATGAAAGAATGAATGCATGCGACAAACTGCACAGCTATCGTATTCATCACAGAAAAAATTTTTTGACAATTTCATCATCATCGTATTCAAATGAGAGAAATTGGAAGAGAGAAAAGTGAATATAAGAGGTAAAAAGTGTGGAGAAGAATAGCAGAAAAGGACACACAACAGAACAAGCAGTTGATGATGGATGATTACAGTGATAAACATTAAACATAATTAAGCATAATCGGCAGAGGCGGCCTACGGCGCCGTTGTGGAAGCGAGATGCAAGCGCATAGACGTTGCATACGATTACATGTACAAAGCATCTCTTTTATACAATTAAATATGTCACATGGGCGTTTTTGTTTATAACTTCTATCAGATTAAGAAATTCTCTCGGTTTTACTTCATGAAAACTCCACATCGGAGAGAGATGATACGTAATTCGTATCCACTGTAATTTGATAATAAAGTCGGAGATGTTGAGAGTTATTGATTTCGAATTTTTTTAAACCTGAATTCAATAGAGCTAATCACAGCCATAAAATTCGTTGTTTTTTCGTTGCGAGTTGTTGTTTGTGATCGTGTGTATCTTATTGTTACTCGCAAGGTCACGAGAGTCGAATTATTTATTTATGTATAAGTATTTATGTATATTTTAATTTAATATAAATCACAAAGACAGGAGATTTCTTATCTTGCCGAGTTCATCATGTGGTTCTTGAGGATATGCAGGTTAAAATTCCACACAGAAGGGAAAACAATTGTCTCATGACGTCTCGTGCCCAATTTTTTCATCCATTCTATTTGTCATTTATTGAATTATTTCTCGCGTTTGTAAATATTTTCTCTTCTCTCACTATCTTATTCGTCGTCATTTTCAGAAAAAATTCGAGATCTCGATGAACATGAAAAAAATGAGCATCCATAAAAGTAAATTCGATATAGCATACATTAGCAGGACTAATATTATATGCTGTTCGGTTCTACAAAACTCTATTCTGTGTATCATTCACTCACGCATTTGCATCCAAATAAAAGTCTGATCCATTCTCGAATTCAACGGACAATAAACACTGCGTGTACAAATCGATACTTTCTTATTTGTTTGTCGGTTGGCGTTTTTGTTAAATATGCGATCTCTTTTAGTGTTGGTTATCGTCATTGCCCCCTCGTTATTGATAATAATTTATACTGATTGTATTAAGAAGAGAGGGTATTCTCTAATTGAATATTTAATTGATTAGGAGATTACAGCTATGATTCTAATAACATGGTTATGGCCAAGGCGTTATTAATTATTACTTTACTAACTTATTTTTTACGTGCATTAATTGTAAAAAAGAATTATGCATTTCGTATTTCGTACTATGTGATATTAATGTAGTAGTAAATTTATCATATCATCGCACAATCATAACAATATAAATAATATAATATAAATTTCTCTGCGGTGTATAAAATAAGCTATGTGATGTTTATGATGATACATCATCTGTAGCCTATAAATACAACCGTTGACCCACAATCTCATCATTCGCTCGCTTGCTTGCTAATTTCTTGCGATAGTTTTTTTTTCTTCTTTCTCACTCTTCTTCCATTCAACAAAACAATTAACGTGTTAAAAGTACGTTGGGTTTAAAGCCGATTGTTTCGGGCGTTGTTGTAATTGGTGCAATAACCTGAGTGGACAAAATATTTGATTACAAACTCGCCTTAACTTTTTTCCCATAACTCTCGTTCGTTGAAAATCCAAACTTCTAATCCAGGATTGAACCTCCTTCTTCCCCTCTTCACCATATACAACAAATAGTAATAAAAAAAATACTTGTCAAAATTGCGACTGGGTTCGTACATTATTAATAAAAAATAGGTAAGTTTATGGTCTTTTACTTTACGATTTAAGTTAAATCCATTACAAAGTATAATGTATTAACCCGTATTTCCTCTTTTTTGGTTATTGTTTAGGTTTGTTTATACAAAAAAATACTTGTATTTCTTCCGTAGACCTCTATTTCTAGTAAATTAAGGAAATTTGGTCATTAACATATACATTTTTTTTCTTCCTCTCTCTCCACCTGTTAAAACGTGCAGTGTATAATAACATTAGAAAGGATATTAGAAACAAAAAAAGACGTTAATACATTGTAAAAAGTAAAAACATTAACGTTGAAATTAAAAGTAGCAATAAAAGTAGAAATAACAGTAGTAATAGTAGTCATAGATTGTTGAGAACATTGTGAAAATTTGAACAAAGAACAGTTTCAATGCTCACTTTAGTGCAAAACACCGTCACCACCCAGCCATTTTCCGAACACTATCGAAATAGCCACAATTCTCACTCGGAATCGGTTAAAGAAACGATGCTCCCGCATAATAACCATAGCAATCATAGTAGCAATGGCAACAGCAATAATCAAAAGTAAATAACTATTTTATTTTTATTCAATAAATTGATTTTTGGAAATTCCGAATATTGATGATATAAATCCATCTTAATTTTTAGGTCTAATTTATCAGCTGGTCTTAAACGAAAATCAATTGGATCTTTTCCGATAATTAATGGACAATCAAGATCACCTTCAACTAGTCCGCGACATGAAGGCTTGATATCTAATTCATTATTATCAACAACCTCCACAGTAACTTTGCTTGAAAAACCCAAAAAATCTAGGACAAGATCGTCGTCCTCGTCATCATCATCATCATCATCACAAACTACTCAGCCGCAGACTCCGGCAACCTTATCGAACTGCTCAAAATCGCCTTCACCTATTCCTCCATCTCCAACATTACCACCTCAAAAGTCAGCATCTGAGGGACGTAAAGCTGCCTTGTCTTTGAAGCTTTTCGATTCATCCTTGAGTGAAATCAGTTCCTCAGTTTCATCAACGCACATTGATCAATCCGGAACTGAATATTTTAGTGTTCCGATATACTCCTCAAATAAGCAAACAAAAAATCCAGAATCTCATACTATCACTTCAAATAACCATGATTACGACGAAAAAGATTCGCTAAAACCCGAATCGCCACGATCAGTTCCATTAACACCATTTGCTAATCAGGTTGGAGGTCACACTTCTATCTTCCGATTCTCGGAGAAAGCTGTGTGCAAGCCATTATGTCGACAAGAAAATCTATTCTATGAAACATTGGAAACGCAGCATCCGGAATTATTACCGTATGTCCCTAAATACCTTGGTGTTTTGAATGTCACGTACAAATCTCGATTTCCAGAAGTTGTGATCGAACAGAACAAACACATACTACCGAGATGGATGTTTAATAATGAAAATAAAGATGAGAAGAAATGGCTTAATGAAGGATTACGTGGATCAACCAGTGTCAACACTGAATTGAAGGAAGAGGTACTCAGTGAAGCATTATCTCCAAAAATGTGTCAAGTGCGTGCTTTACAAAAAGAACCATTTGTAAAGCGACGACATTCTGCGGACTCACTCGCAAAGTCGAAGAATGATTCAAAGGAGACATCACGTAGCTTCACAGAAATTAACACCTCTGGTAAGACCAAAAAACCTCGATCTTGCTTCGAATCAGAAGAAAACTGTGACACGATACCTCAAGAATCTGAATTTTGGGAAACGAACAATCCATGGTCACTACATTGTCTCTCAAAAGCAAATGCTCAAGAAAAATTAGAACAATTCATACTTTTAGAAGATCTTACGGGTGGATTGAAATATCCTTGTGTATTAGATCTTAAGATGGGCACTCGACAATTTGGGATTGATGCCACGCCCAGTAAAAGAGAGAGCCAGATGAACAAGTGTGCAAAAACTACTAGCAAAACCTTGGGTGTACGTATCTGCGGAATGCAGGCAAGTATCTATTTTTTTACCTGGGAAGAGATTGGTGTGTAAATTCTGTGATATGGGTCTACTGAATGCGCATACCTTTTGTTTCAACCAAAAGGAAGAGTACGATTCGACCTGTTCACAGCGCGAAAATACGCTTATCTGATGACAGATTGACTAATGATTGTTTTTGTTTTTTCTTGCAATTAAATAGGTATATAAGACGACAGAGAAAGCATTTGAATTTACGGATAAATATCAAGGAAGAAAATTAAATGCGTCTTCTTTCCGTGAAGCTCTAGGTGAATTTCTGAACAATGGACAAGGAATTCTAGTGCATCATGTACCAACCATAATACATAAACTACGCAATCTTGCTAGGATTATTCGCGGATTAGGCGGATACCGATTCTATGCCAGCAGTCTTCTACTCATCTATGACGGAGACACACGAAACTCGCGAGACATAGATATAAGATTAATTGACTTCGCACATTGTACGACTGGAAATGACTATTCAAAAGAAGAATATCGCTACCCACCCACAAATCCTTCTTCCTTCGATATTGGATATATGTTTGGACTGAAAAATCTGATAAAAGCATTCGCGTCGATATATTATTGTCATACTGGAGTAAAGCTGGACGAAAAAGACACGGTGTTCGCCGGAATATCTTTTTCTGATGAATTAGAGTGACAGTGATACAATAACACTCACCATCCCCACTTGAATTTAGAGGAGTCATCGAAGTCGTTAACCTTGGGAGGAGTTGTTGGACTTGTTTGGCTTCGAAGGAACCAAAGACAATCAATCAAATGATTTTCTAATAATGTGAAAATTTTTCAGTTTCTTTGTATATCATTTTTTCTATCCATCTTTTTTTTTGTAATTATGATTTCTCGTAGAACACAAATTTTTCCTTTCTTACTTCTCTATATGTAAATACTTTATCTTTTCTTACATAAGTTTTAGAATTAGTTTTTACCAAAAAGACTATTCATTTCTGTGCAATTCATTAGTGTAGTAATAATTTTTCTTGAGATGATGATGATGAAAAATATATTTCAATATCGCACAGAATTTTATTGATTTTTACTGCCATCGAAACATTAACGTTACTTTTTTTTAATAAGTTGATTAATCGTTCAGTGTATTTGTAATTTTTAAAATAATCTTGACGGTATTTAATGATTGTAGTAATAAAGATGAAAAAGATCATACGTTGTGTATGAGAAAAAGATCATCGATGATGATTATCATAATCTTCTCAAGGCGTTCTTAAAAAAATTAATAAGTGTGTGTGTGACGGTCTTATGGTGATACCCGATAAAAACAACAGCGCTAATGTCAAACATGGTTAATGCTTGATGCATGTTCGATTACTAGATGTATTTCGCATAATATTGAGACAAATTGTATTGTTTTAGTGATTTGAATCGGTTATATCTTTCATTGATTAGTCAATCGTTCATTGATTAGTCAATCATTCATTTATTGAACAAATCGGTTAATATCCGGTTCATGGGTATCCGATTTATTTTAATCGATTAAATTATTAACGTTAACTACATTATAACGATAATCAGTCTATTTTGGGGATCGGTTAAAGCGTAGTCCATCCGATAATCTGTCCGAAAAACAAACCAATGAGGATGCGTAAATTTTTAATCAACCCGGCAAAACAAATTTGAAGCAAAGACAAAAATGAAAAAATACTGAAAACAGGTGCTTAAATCTTTCTTGGAGCACTAATTAAAAATGTCGGGAAGGCAATTTTAAATATAACCTTAACCTCCTTCCCAACTCTAACCCTAACCCTAACGTTGAAATTACCTTTTATATTTTAAGATATATCACGTGATTGACTACGCTTTAACCGTTCTCCTATTTTGTCCAACAATTCGTATCACTAGGTGTAGCTCCAGGCACAGATTAAAAAATACATTTTTGAATCTGTACCCGGAGCCACCACCAATAAGGATGCGCGATTTTTAATCAGCCCGACAAAACAAACCCGACACAAGAAAATGGAAAGACAGGAAGTAAGTGCCAAAATCTAGCTTGGTGCACTAATAAAAAATGTTAGGGAGGCAATGTTACATATAATAGCGATTCAAATTTCGCGTATGTTTGCAGCGTCAACGATTTATTTATAAGTCGAAGATGTTATCAAATTTTAAAGAAAGAGTGGATATTTTTATTTCATAATAGCACAAAAATATTGTTAAAAAAAGATAACGCCACACTAGAAGCGATTGAAGAAATTAAACAATTGAAGCACACGTATATATAAATCATGAATTTGTATCAGCTAAATAAATAGAGAAAAGGAAAGAAAGAAGAGAAATTCGTACTTGAACTAATATAAATAAGAATGCCAGGATTATTGTTTGAATTACCGCAAAAAAGAATAATCCAAGATAGTTTTTGTTACTGTAGTATTTTTCTCATTAGCTCACTCACTCACTAATAAATATGCAAAATACGCGAATTATAAGAATTCATATAATCCGAAAGAACCTTGGATTTGTAGGCGGCTTTTTGATACTTTGCTAAATATAATAAATGTGAGCTAGATAGAATAAAAGTAATCAAAGCTCGAATGAATTGATTACAGTATACTTGCAAACATATTGAATAAAACCATTTGGAATAAATGACTGAGTCAACAATCTTAGAATGGGAATCTTTGATAAAGCTTCTTGTGATTCTCGGAATATTTGCGAGTAGAGGTAATAGTGGTCGAGGTAGGATTAATCCCTTGATTCATCATATCTATAAAATTATAGTATTTAGTCAAATTTAACCTTCTTTAAATATAAATCAATAAATCATCGTTACCTTCTTGTTGCTGTTGTTCGTTATTAATACGAGCCATGCTAAAAGCTGCATTCAATGAATCTAATAAAGAATTGCTGGATCCATTGGAAACGCCATCGACAAAATTATTATTTGCCAATGGTTTATTACTCGCCAATGCATTTGAAATCAACGCGGTGGCGATATTGTTACTGCCATCACCTCGTTTAATTTCTGATTCGTTACCACCATCATTTCCGAACAAGGACGAAACTTGTTGATGTTGTTGGAGATTATGAAGATGATGCTGATTACTATTACCAGCAGCATTAGCGTTACTATTATTATTGAACAAGCTACCAAAATGACTAGGGTGGTTGTTGTAATATTGCTGCTGATTGATAGGAGGCTGGACATTCGAATAATTTTGCGGATGAAGATGATGTTGATGAGTCGTCTTAATGGTAGCACTGGAAGCAGGAAACATCGTAGGCGCTGCACCAGAAGCTGCGGGAACTGCGGCGGCGACGGTTGCAGCAGCAGAAAGAGTATGTTTGATGGAGTTTGCTTTCGCGACGAGAAGATTCGCCTGAGTGCTAATCAAAGCTTTCTGCACGTCAACCATTTGCTGACGTAATTGAGCGATACGTTGATCTTGAGAAATAATAATATCACGTTTATTTTCACATTGCTCACAATAATTCATGTTTGTTAATTTTTGCTGCTGCTGCTGCTGCTGTTGTTGCTGCTGCTGTTTTGGTTGATAGCGATTAGGATTCGGATTAACTCGTCGCAGATGATGTTTTTCAGGTTGTTGTTGATACATGGAAGAATTGAATTGATCCTTCTTTTCATCGGTGGGGTTAGCAGAAGTTTGACTACTAGTGATAGTAGGGGTGGGAGTGGGAGGAGTAATTTGAGTTGTATTATCATTTTTGCGAGGAAGCTGATAGTTAGGAGTGCCAGTTGCGTTTGTTTGCGGTGTATCGGGAATCGAAGAAGTGAGAGAGCTGGGGGTGCTAGAATCTTCTCCAGAGGTCATGATCGTAAATTTGAATATTATTTATTAAATACAGAAAGGCAATATTTATTTGGTTGAATCTAAAATCCAACGACTGGATAATAAATAGTAACGGAGAGACAAGAAATGAGAAAAAGATAACTGTAAAAAATAAGAGAATCGAGATAACCAACTTCTTATATATATTTGAAAATTTTAATAAACAATAAGCTTTAAACTACCGCAAGATCAATCACTCGGTTACCCAGACAATATGCAAAAAGACTAAATTATAACTTTTGATATTTTATCAAACTATACGTAGTTATACTTGTTGTACTTTTGTTTTTGACGATTTGATGATAATGATGCATTATGGGCCAGTTAGTCAAGTCTTTTCAAAAGTGACGTGTGTTTTTGTTACTCGTAATCACATTTTCTTTGATCGATTGATTTTGAGTCTATACACTGGTCAATTGATAATTTACTAATGAATATTTCTCAGAATAATTGTCATCTACTCAAATAATAAATGAGATTTGTATTATTTCAAATTTCAGATGAGAATATAATATTTATTTATTTTCTTGAATCTATTTGCTATGGTTAATAATTGAAAAACATATTTATATTTAAAAAAAGCAAAATAATACTCGAACATAATAAACTACTTTATATTCTACTAGTATAAAAACTGAATCTTTCCTCTTTCCAAAGTAGAAGTAGTGGAGCTACTACTAGTATTAACAAGTGTTATTATATTTAAAAGGCTTCACTGGATAATTATCTTGCTGATTCTTATCATACTTCTTGAAAACGTTCTTTAAAACAATTTTCTTCGGATTGCTCTCTTCGATATCTTGCTGCGGCCCCACAGCATCAACAGTATTATAATTACTCGGAACCGAATTGCTCTTTTTGTTGTCTTGTTGTTTCTGTTGTTTCTTTTGTTTCTCTAATCGCGATAAGCTTTGAGTCACGTTTAGCAAAATCGTGTCGACTGCTTCTGGATATATTGATGGCGCTAATAGTCGAACCACTTTGATCTGTTTGGAAGGAAATATAATATTTCAATTGTTATTATTACCAACTTCAAAGAAATGATAAGGGATGATATTTACCGATTTTGACAAAATTTCAGGATCTACTTTTGAGTAATCGATAGCGGAGAGTATTTTTTGATTAAATTCTAGTTGGTCGGTTTCGACTTGACAATTGAGCCAGTCGATTACAACATTGAAGGCTTTTACATTCTAGAAACAAATTTAGATGTTTAATGATTATTGGAAAAAAGTAACAAGATCGAAATCAAAGTTTACCACATCTCTAGCATCCAAAGAATTATCGTTCCTATTGGTCTTAATATAATATTCCACCGCGCATTTCAATGCGCATCTCTTCAATTCTCTAAACCCATGGAATACAGATTGACAATCTGAGGTCGATTCAATTTCCCAGAAGAACTCGACAAATTTTTCCGTGATTTTGACAATCAGCCCTTCCCTTTTCATCCACCAATTCCAATCATCGTTAGTATCCACATTAGCATCGATTATTCCAAGATCCGGTAACAAAACATCAAAAGCTATATTCAATAAGGAGATAATATTGTTTCTGGTCATGTATTTGTCGATCGCTTTCAAACTAGACTGAAATAAATCATAGATCTTGAGTGTATCAATTAGATAAAAAAAAGAAGCGTAAAGGAAAATTGAAGTTTCCAATTCATGATATTCGACTTTTCCTGTATAGAGAAACAATTTGAGGTGATTAAATGCGAAAGAAACTGATGTTGGTGGTAGTTTTGTCGAACCGATCATGTGTGTTAACACGATTGTTTCGAGATTTTTGTTGGGTGGATATTCGATACGTAATTGGTTTGGATCAGCGATGAATACCAAAGCTTCTTTATTACTATTAACGACGTGGGTTTCATTCGATTTGTTGATATCGAAGATGTCGTCTTCGTCGTTGTACTTTTCGTCTTCGCAATCAGACCACCCATCGGCAGATCCGTTCTCATTTGATGGATTCTCGATTACAATTAACTTCTTATCGTTTTCAGTATTATTGAATTCTTGAAAATATTTATGGAGTGTTGACGAAAGTAACAGCAACAGAAATCTAAACAACCAATTTAGCAAATTAGAATAATCATTCTTTATTTACAATTAGCATAAATCGTTTATATTAGATAAAATACAGTTATTACTTGTGCACTAGAGCGCTCGAACCATCAGGCAAAAGAATTCTCAAGTCATAGGTCGATTTGTCATTTGAAAGGCCCTTTATTTTTTGAATAATAGAGTTGTTGTTATTGCTACCGCTTCGAATATTGGAAAGATTATTCTCGTTAATTAGATTATTGATCTCTGCGGTAGGAGTATTAGCAGTAGTATTGACAGTAACAGAGGTAAAAGCGACCATATTTTCATCAATATCTTGATAAGAATCTTGAGAAGTAGCCATTTTCTTTGTGCATTTGATTTCTACCAGTTGCTGTTTATTTATATACCCTGTATATATCTTCTTTTTTGATGCGGAATGGGGCGATAATTTGTTATATTAGATATACAAGATAAAAAAAAAGACGGCGAATTGACGTGATTTATTGCGGTGATGTATTGTTCTTCTATTGTGCTATATTAATTTAATTTCATGTTTAATCATGATAGTCGCATGATAGCAAAGGAGTACCAATTGCAACTATAAATATTTAGCGACCATTTTAATTTTCTTCTGATGGCCAAAAGCCTTTCATCATCATCACCACGAAAACATGGTATTTTATCAAACGACAATATAATAAATCGACATACTCTATATTCTTTGATATGTAAATGACAATTCAACCGTGATAATAATAAATCATCCTTATTACCCAATCCCCATTCCATTTTCATTAATTCTAACTTTTCGACAAAGACACACTCTGATGTATTTATCGATGTTCCAGCTGAATAATAATAATCTTCAGAATGCAAATCATCACTATATAAAAGAAACTATTACTATCATAATGTTATAACGATTATTTTTTCTTGATTGATAAATTGTCAAGTTTTATTTACTTTTTTCTCCGAAACATATTATTAAACTAAATTATTCATATAATCATTAATGTCTCTCGCAATGACTCAACAAAGCGAAACACCTTCTCAGCCATCAAACATGGAGCCGACAACCACGACTACGCCGCCAAATTATCGTTCTTCTACTAATACTTCTTCCTCTGGTGCGACTCCTCCAACCCCTCAAAGCAGCAACAACAACAACAACAATAATAACAATAACAATAATTCTTATCAACAACGAGACTATTATCAGCAGCAACAACAGAACCGTTGCCGCACATGCGAAAATCTCAAAGACATCATTATTTCACAAGATCAAAAAATCAACCTGCTTCATCAAGACCTTCTTGAAGTTCAAAAAGCTTTGATTTTGACTCAGTCGAATTTGCTTGATGCCTCCGCTAACATTTTGAAGAATTCGGCTAGTAATTCTATCAACTCTACTGCCACTGTTACTAATAATGCTCGCGCTTCTCTGGGAATTGGTGGCAATAGCAATAGCAATGTTCTTAATAACGGTCCGGCCGGATTCGGGTTGAATACTTATCAAGCTTTTGTAGGTGCCGGTACTCATAGCACCAGAGAAAGGGCAAATAGTGCTTCCGCTGCGTCTACATTTCTTAAATCTGGTTTGGGAAATCATGAAACACCCGTTAGATCCGCGACGAATAATCCTGCATCTGCGTTTCTTAAGTCTGGTTTGGGAAATCATGAGACTCCCGTTAGATCCGCAACGAATAATCCTACCAATAACGTTGCGAATCGAGCTAACAATGATATAATGATGAATCCGGCCGCCGCTGTTTTTAATCCTAACCTTGGTGATGAAGCAGGTACTTGTTTTTGTTATCAAATAATCTTTATTTTATTAATATCTCACTCTAATTATTCTATACTTTTTCTTTATAGCTAACTATCATTTCTAGATATAGTTTTGCTATCCAGATCCTTTTCAATTCATCCTTACTATTTCTTTCTTTCGGCTGTTTAAGTTTGAGGTATTTCTTCTACTCAATATCCAAGGCGTTTCATCGCTCTATCTTTTATCAATTAATCTCTTTTGTTTGCTTTTAAGTATTTTTGAAAATCTTGCGGCTGTTCTCCCACCCATTCATCCACCAATTTGCCCAGATATAATTTGTGAGGCACAAAAGTAATATGAATTGCAAAAAACATTTAAAAACATGATTACAAGTTTAGCGATAAATACGACGTTTACTTTGTGTAATGTGTAAACTAGTTATTATGATTATACACGCATTGTTGAATGGCTAATGCAATCAATATAAACAAAAAAAATAAAGTTAATTTCTAACTTTGAAAGAAAAAAACAAGATCATGGTTTTAAGTCTTTCATGTATTTTTGAGATTTGGTGAACACCTCGAATCTTTCAGGATTGATATATGATGCAGGAGCTCTTAAATCGACGATATGTTTCAATTTTAAAATGCTACTACTACTCAACATAGAGGCAAAATTTTCAAAATCTGACCAGTAGCATTTTAAAATTGAAACATATTGTCGATTTAAGAGCTCCTGCACCATATTTAACAAGAAAAAACAATATATGATTTAGCTCCCCCAAAATACGTAGATAGATCAGATAAGTATTCCTCGCTCCATATTTTCTAAGAACATCGTGTGTTGATTTTGGAGTGCTAGTGCATTTCACTCGACTTTTAATGCCAATAATCGAAAAGAGCGAGACTTGACAGTTTCCTCTTCGATATATAGTTTGTTATTTTGTCGGTCAGTTTGCTTGAATTTATTGACATTGCAAAAACAGATGGCTTGTGTGTTATAATTTTTTCTAAAAATTAGCATTAAATAAAAAATAATTTATTATGAACAAGAAGGCTTGAAATAGACCAATCAGCTTTTAAAAATATCCGGTCGAAATAAAAAGATTAGTTTGATTACAAACGCTTGGCATTAATCATAAATATTTTCATTTGTTGTTAAATTCGCCGAAATGGGAATGTTAATAAATCAAAAATTTTACGAAAAATCGAATTTCTGGATTAAATTGCATTTAATTTTTTGAACCATCAAGACTGATAACAATAGACAAATATAGTTGTAAAACAATTTGTTTGACTATTTGGAACCCTTCCAAAATCGGGTTTTTTCTATTTTAATATATTTAAATATATTTAATTATACATAACAGTTTAACTTTGCTAATCAATCAAAATTGTTAATCATGATCAAGATTAATATTAATGCTTTCTCCATATTTCTTAACGGTCCAAAAAATTGTTCAGATGATGATATTGTACGAAGCGGAGTTGTTCACGCGTCTGATTGATGATGAATCAAATAATTTATTAAGTAATTCATGCATTTGATTTATTATATATAGATATATGGCTAAATTAGGGCTTTACTATTCTGCATCATTACAAAAAAAAAGAAAGTTGACTATTTATTATTCTATTATATTCGAATTTCTCTATTCTTTTTATGTTTCTTATTATTTAATAAATAAACAATTTTACATAAATTTTATTTAAGAAATAATGTCTTTAGCATATGAGAACGACGACGTAGTTAGTATGCCAGATTCCATTGCGTCTTCGACTGCTTCGGCTTGGACAATGTTCTCAAAGACTTCAACTCATGGTGTTTTAGCCGGAAATTGCAGCAACTTGCCAAATTTACCGACTATCTCTTCTGCACTTGGTGTCACCACTTCTAATGCGATTAATTTTAATCATACCGCATTCAAATATATCCATGAAAATATCGATGAAAACGAAAGCAACAATTTTGATATTTCGAATATTCCTAGTCTTGCGTTCGCTGATTATGCTGATCTAACGGAAGACGATGATGATATTTTGGCGCATCGCAATCAAAAACAACAGCAGCAACAGCCTCAACAACAGCAATTTCAACAACAACAGCAACAGCAACAGCAACAACAATACCGTCAATTATTAATGCAAGAACATCAACAAAATGAATTCTCCTCAGTCCTAAGTACTTTTAAACATGAACTTATTAATGAACTCTGTGAAACACTTAAACGACACGTACTGCCTGAATTTTTAGAAAGGTTCAAGGAAGAACTTGTTATTGATCTTCGTCCATTTCTTATTTCTCCGTTTGCACAGCCTATTAAGATGCAACAAGAAAAGCATCAGCAGCAGCAACTAAATTTTTTTCCTTCGCCTTCAATCTCTCTTCCATTTATTCCACCAACCCCACCGCATCCAATTCCAATCTCACAAAATTTCAAATTCGCCGCACTATTCATATCATTCAATCCAACTTTCTCATTAGCGAATATCGGAATTGGGATTGCATTACGTCAACGAGGGTTTCATCCTATTATTCAGTACATTCCAAACGCTTATCCCACCGATAAAACTGTTTTAATGATTCGTGATATCACTATCAATCTTTGGGCGAACAACTGGCGTTTAGTAGTATTTTTAATTTGTGATCCGGCAGAAATGATTAATTCGGCTCGCGACGCAATTCGAAGAATGAGAATCTTCTTTGACAAAGATACTTTACGTGTTGTGACAGTTAAATTACAAATGTCAATCGACACACAGGCTTGGTGTGTAAATGAATTTAAGAAAGCAGGTTCAAATGAGATTATTGTAAGAGAAGAAGAAATGTTGCAAGGTATCATCAAGAATTGTGAACAGGTATGATTAGAAATTGAATGACCGAAATTTATGATTAGGAGCTAATAGGACTAATAAAAATTACTCTGTATAGGTTTCCATTTCTTCTCAAACTCTTAATCCTCAGATTCCGGGGGAATTTCGCAATTCTTTCCCAGCTTCGGTTAAAATTGGGGAAAAAGTTTGGGTAACAGTCGAGCATTTTGGTATTTATTTTCCTTCCTTTATTACATATTCCTACTCAGTTTATTGCATGAAACTTTGAGAATTCTAAATTATCCAATTTTTTTTCCGCTTACTTAGTTAAAGCTCAACTACACTATGCACAACGTAATGACTGGGATCGTCCATCAAATCCAGACGGACAAACTCCTCGTCATCGTGTTCTCTCGATTGCTCTTTGGCATAAATTCACCCAACATCCAAAATTGACACACAAACTGTTGTCTACCAGTCCATCACAAATTGATGCATATCAGAACTGTGCTGACGAGGACGAAGCATTTTATTCTGATGAATTTGACTCTAATCAAATATTCAAAAGTGTTAATCGTGAAATTAGGGAGAAAGTTTTTGCTAAAGTGATTATGGATATGAGCGAGGAATACGGCGTTAAACCAAAGGACAAACTTTGGATCGTTGGTGGTTTGGAACAAGAATTAAGATTGATTTAAGAAATCGTTGGCAGTAAAGAGGGGATGGTTTTAGAATTTCAATTTTTATATTCTCTGTCTACTTTCGAGTAGATGTTTTTTTGACTTCTTTTAAATAGTATTATTTATCTATTCTTTTTGTATTACATTTTATTACCTAAATTTTGGAAGAAAAATAAAATTCGTATTTTTGATTAACAGTATATGTAATAATAAAAAATATAGAATATATAGACTGTTAATATAACAAAAAGAAAATTTAAAATCTCAAGAAAATGCTACGAGATTTTTTAACATTTCGACTTTATTTCCTTCAGTTTCAATATTTTTCTATTTGGTAATATACATAATTGCCGAGATTTTAATTAAATTCACAACTTTAACATTTTCACTTTTTAGTATTACGCAATGTCAATGAAATGCCTAATTATCTGCTTTACATAAAATTTCCTGCCTGATTTAAGATATTAAAGAATTTTGTCGGTATTTTATGTGAAATTTTACAGCCACTCGAATATGACGCTGTAGAAAATTTAACTCTTTTTTTTTATATTTCGCTGCAAATTAAATGGCATGGGAGAGTACTTTATACAACGCTATATTTTCTCACAGTCGTGTATTTTTTTGAGCATTTTTTAATATAACAATAAAAACACCTAATAAAATATCCTTTGGTATAATAATTTTTTCGTCTTGATTTATACAAATTTCACAAACTATTCTTCTTTCAACACCAAAATTCTGCTGCAAAACACATTTTTACACGAATGGAAATTTTATAAAAACATCTTTTTGAAAATTATTGAATCATAAAATTTTACGCTTGCGTCTACAGCTTGCATAATTAAATACCATAAACTCATCCTCTCCTTTCTCGCCAATCAACCTTTTCGAATCAGTAGGCATACTTGTCAACTAGTGATGATCCGATCTTATTAGTATGCTCAAGAAAAGAAAGTAAATTGACTAAGCTTTGCCAATTATCATAACCGTTTTTTTAACCTATCAGAAACAAATTTATCTACTTTTGGCAAGATTTGTATTTATGTAACGTTAATGGAAGGGTATCGTATAGTCCATATGTTCTTTTAGAGTATTAGCCTCGACAAGCTTGTGAAGCGTGTTATAGTGGTTTTGGCTTGTTTGATGGAAACTTGGCGCACTCGATGATCTTTCTGTAAAATTTGAATCCACCAGAGCGACCCCAAAAGGTCTGATCACATGATAATCTATTGATGATGTCAGCGATGATGACCAATTAAATTGCAAGATCAATGTGTCAAAACCAAGGCATATTTTGAAAAAAAGCTTGTATCTCAAAATATGTTCTAATAAAAAATGTTTCTTGCGAAATTTTATTATAAATATATTTGTGTTTGCCAAATAATCTTGACCCAGATCCAAATCCTAACCCTTTTCGCATAGTAAATAAGTAATGGCAAAAAAATTTCCATATCCCGTGATCTCTGATTCCAATCCTCTTAAAATTATAATGTATAATATTAAATAGAATTTCGATTAGGATTAGAGTTAGGTTAGGTTTAGGGTTAGAGTTATCGTATAGCAAACGAGAATATGAAGTAAAATTTTGCAAGAAACATTTTTTATTAAAGCACAAAAGATAGTTTTATAGACAAAGTTTTAAGATATAAACTATGTTTCAAAAATAAGCATTTTTGTTTATTTAGAATTTTTGTATTGCACGTTAACCTTGCATTGGGATCAGAGATCAAGGGATCTAGAAATTTTTTTGCCATTACTTTCTACTACTTTTCGCATCATTGATGTCATCAAAGAATTATCATATGATCCACAAATGTGGTCACCCTGGTAAATCGTAAAATTTGCGATTTTCAGGAAGTTTTACCACTTCCAAATCTTCATGATAAAAGCAGGAATATTTGACTATTTATCTTAAAAACCAGGATTGCAGTAAAATATATATATTTAACCGAAATATTAGAATTAATGTTTTGGCTTGAAACTGTTCAATTGACAAAAAAGTTATGAGTGATGCTACCGTAATTTGCCATTTAGAATATCCCCTATAATATCATCCCTCCATGAATTGTACCCGGTTCGATGCATGATTTACAAAGTGAGTAGAATATAACGTACCTCCTTGTAATTCTGGTCAAATATAGACTAATTCTGGCTGAAACTATTATTTCTATATAGAATATCCTCCATATAATATACCCTCCTTAGAGATGTTACGGTTCAGTCTGATTCTGTTCTGATTCAAAAAGACCAGTTTCTTAAATCAGAACCAAATCACATCGATCTTTTGAATCATCAATATATCGATTGTTGTTAATATATGATAATATTAACTAATTAATTATTTAATATATAATACATATATAAAAAGAAATCTAATAATATTAATTGAAATAAAAAACATATAATATGTATATAAAAAGAAATCTAATAATATTAATTGAAATAAAAAACATATAATATGTATATAAAAAGAAATCTAATAATAT